GTTTTGTGATTGAGAGAAAGAACCAAGTAATGAAGCTGAATCATAGTACTTGTACATTAGCCAATTCGTGTGGGGAGAGAGAGAGAGAAATACAAATATGCTTCGCTACAAAGGGATATTCATTTCGTGGCGTCTCCTTTATAGCCACCTATCATCAATCGCGTAAAAGGCCGTAATTGTATTATAAGCGACTTTTGGTTTTGTCGAATAAATTATATTGAATCAATTATATATGAAAGGACTATAAACGCGATTTGAATTAATACGGATTAATACCCGTTCCCATCAATGTAGATTACTTTAATTGGATTTAACATATTTTTTACCTTTTTTTAATTTTTATGCTCGTTTCCATCAGTTCTAGAAAAGAATGAAACTAGTTTACGTTTCATTCTTTTTTAGAATCTTATAAGAATTAGAAAAAGATAAAGAATAAATTAAACTAAAATTAAAGTTAATCCATATTGATAGAAATAAAAATATAATCATCTCTTTCTAAAATTCTAAGAATTAGAAAAAATAAAGAATAAATTAATTATATATATATATATAAATATATATATATATATATACACAGTAGAAACAAACATTAGAAAAAGATGAAGAAAAGTTAAACTGAGATTAAAGCTGGATCTGCGTGGAACTTGTGGAACCAGGCAGATCGTTTGTTACGAGGATATTTTATCGATTATAGGCTTTCTACACGTATTTAGATTTATTGATTATATTTCGTTCCTTTTTGATTCAGGAGTTTTTTTACGATACAACGCAGATCGGTAAAAAAAATTTTTCTTTCCCGACAGAAATTTTCTTAATAAGTTGTAAAATTGATTTTTAATATCTGTTTTGTATGATATTTGTATTAACGTACGATATAGAGCATGGGAAAGAAATGAACGCTCGTTGTTTGAGCAATTTTTGAAAAATTTTGAAAATGTCCGATCAGTTTAGCACCATAGGGAGAGAAGAAATATTGCACGATAAGATATATATTGCAAATCGTGGCGTGACTGTCGAGTTTTCGTCATCCGGACCAGTCGGCGCGGCGGTTTCGCGTTCCGCTGTTTCCGATCTGATTCCGTTGCGTTCCTCGTTTCCGCGGCGTTTTGACGAAATCCAGACGAAGACGAAAGCTTAGAACGGAGCCGGAAAGCGGACTAGCGGAAGTTCGACCAAGCGATGAACGACGGCGGGTTAAGGCGGATACGATATATTTCGCGATTCACATAGTATGTGCCATACATACATACGCGAGCTATTGAATTTGTGATGAGGTCGGTTTTTAGCAGGAGAAATAAAGAGAGAAATGGAGAGAATGTGTTTTTTTTGCAGGGCGAATCATAGATGTTGATACGTGCGTAGTGCGTGCGTACGCGCTTGCGCACTCGATCCGCCCGTCCGTGATGGCGTGATCCGTCTCGAGATGGCGGCGGAGAGGCAATGACGTCACGGGCGTAGTAATACACGGCGCGAGCGCATGGCGAGCGGAGTCAATCCGCGGAGCTGCTGCGCGAGAGACTGGGAACTGCTTTCGATTGTTGGCGGGCGCCGCCATCTTGGTCAGTGAGTCTGCGAGTGGCCTGTACGTCTCCGTGGTGCGGAGTGGCTTCGTTGTGCGTATTTCAGGCGGTCGTTTGCCGAACGGCGTATTCCGTGCGCGCGTCTCTCCCCCGCGTGAGCTTCTCGTTATCCATTTAACCAGTGAGATCCGCACGCATCCGAGATGTCGGAACGGGAGGACAACGTTTACAAGGCGAAACTGGCCGAGCAAGCGGAACGCTACGACGGTAAGTAGATATTTCCCCTTTTCGCTGGGTGAGGGGTAGGGGGGGTGGACAGAGGGGACAATCTAGCCGGTTCGTCGATGCGAAACCGCGAAACCGATCTACATCCCGCGCGATCCATTCGCGTCTCGCGCGTCGCGTCAACGGGCTCTTTCCTCTCCTCCCCTCCCCCCCTCCCTTTTCCCCCTTCGCTCGCATCAACCCGGGATCCGGGTCGCCCATCGTCGCGGCCGTCTGGCGTCTCGACGTTCTCGCGATAGCCCGCCAGATCCAATAGAGAATTTCCTTTCTCGACGAATAACCTTTCCTATTCTTCATCGTTACTCTTACATACTCCCGGGGCTGTCGCTCTCGTTAGAGCGCGTCGTACCTGTCAAAATTGGCGGCGCGATCGTTACGACGTATTATTCGTCATAGCCGGCGGCGTTTCTTTGTGGCGGCGCCGGACGCGATATCGACTCGTGTCGGTATCACTTCGTGACGGTCGATCCGGCGAGGCCCGCCCGTTCGCTACTCCGTTCGGCCATTCGTTTATCCGTCCATCCGTCCGTTCGTTCGTTCGTTCGCTCGTTCGTTCGTCCGTTCGTTCGTTCGTCCGTTCGTTCGTTCGTTCGTTCGTTCGTTCGCTCGTTCGTTCGTTCGTTCGTTCGTCCGTTCGTTCGTTCGTCCGTCCGTTCGTTCGTCCGTTCGTTCGTTCGTTCGTTCGTTCGTTCGTTCGTTCGTCCGTTCGTCCGTTCGTCCGTTCGTCCGTTCAATCACCAAAGCCCCGGGGGGGGGCGGAGGGGGGGGGGGGGGCTGCGGAACGAGACGACGGATCTCGTGCGTTTTCTAGACCTGCGTTAGATCTGCTCTTTCTAGCTGAACTTTTCGGACAATTCAGCTCTCTTTTCTCTCTTCTCTTCGTACGTGAAGAGAAAAGGAAGACGAACCATGTAAGAATAGTTGATCTGTAATAAAGAACAGATCAGAGTTGTCTCGCGGCTCGATTCCTTTGGATTCCGTGCTCCGAAAGTCTTCCGATCGGGAAACGACGCTGGACGCTGGCCGTGGCGGCGGCCACGCGTTGCTAAGCGTGCTCCCGGTTCTCCGCCTCGTCGCTCTTTTTCACCTCCTACTCGAGAGAGAGTTACATGTCTCTTCGGCAGATAAGCGAAGCGAGACAGGTTCGTTTCTCTCCCGACCACCGACGACGGATGGTCATGAGACTCGTGAATGTTGATGACGTATAGACACGTCGAGGCACCTTGGTTAATCGCACCGCCGCCGCCGCCACCGCCGCCGTCGTCGCCGCCACCGCCACCGCCACCACCGCTGCCGCCGCCGGGTTATTATACCACGGATACACGCAGTAAGTCGCGTGTTCCGCTCGTGGCATCTGGCCTTGAGCGCGCACGAAGAAATCACCGATTGGGGATTCGATCGACCGAGAAGAGCTACCGTTCAATATCATTTTATCCATGGTGGAATTAAACATGATTCCATCATACATTTGATCTTTGTTCAACGTTCTGTGAAGAAAAGGAATAAAATAATATATGGATGCATCTCCCGGATAAATTTTCGAAACACAGTCAAAAGTGAAAAGTGAGAACAACCAATGTCGTTCTCTTTTTCCTCTTTTCCGACCTCTTTTTCGACCTCTTTTTCCGACAGAGCCTCGACAGAGAGGCGAGAACCGTCATCCGCATGGATTCCAACAACAGCTGCACGGCCCGCTTTAGTTTTCTGCAACTTCGGCTCCTTTCCCCGCGCGAAAAGCGAGGAAAAAGCGAGACGAGTCCACGCGAACCGCGTGGGGTCCGCTTTAAATAAGAATGAGACGAAGGTCTCATTGTCAGGTAAAATAGACCTGACGGATCGCGTACAAGCTTGACGCTGCACCGCGCCACGCCGGATCCAGCCGGATCAGCCGGATGTCGCTTTTGCCGACTCGATCCGTTTCATTTTTTCGCACGTACGTCTTCCCTCCCCTCCATTCTCTCTCCCTTTCCGTGTTGAGTTAACGGGTCCAGATTAGGCGTAATAAAGTGAAGCGTCCAGAGCGAGCGGTAGATCGCTTGGCGTCTTTCGAAGCGCCCCGACGATGACGATTCCATCGATCTCCTCACGTTCTCGATATCGACGCGACCTCGCGGACCGCGGACTTATGCGTGATTATCGAGCGTCGGCACACACACCGGCCGGCGTGGCGCGGCGCAGCGATTTGGAGCGTTCGTATCGATCGCATTCATTCGATGCGCGCTTCGATGCCCACTTGTATCATACCAGTTCGCTTATCTTTCGTTATATTTTTAATAAAATATACAAGTAAAGTACTCCGAATTTCACACGAATTTCATTGATCTCATTCCTACGTTTCGGGCGATGGCGCGATGGCGCGATGGCCGCGTGCGCCCGCCCGGGACGAGCTGCGAAGAAGAAGGTTGAGAGGGACGAGTGAGAGACTGTATCTTGAAACGAGAGAGGCCATGGAGCGGAGCGGAGCGCAGCGACAAGTATAGCGACGAGAGGCGTGGGAGGGAAGAGATGGTCAAATTTTTCCCCATCCCTGCTGATCCCTGCGCTATAGATACGTCTTGGTGTGTGCGCGCGCGCGCGCTTCGTGTCGTCTAACGTCTTTGAAGATTCCTCAAGTACTCAGCCGGCTGTATATACATATGCTGAGAAAAATGTATCTACCTATCTGGAGCAACGCTCATTCTGTATCTTGAAACAAAGTGGAAATTTCTAAAGCGAACGAATTTGTCTACTAAAATATTTATAATTTCGTTGATCAACACCTTAATAAATTTTGTAATTACGTTACATTAACTCGTTCGCGTTGCTTGTATTTTTTCCGCTCGCCATCTTCGCTGCTTTCTCTCCC